GCCTTTGCAAAAGGGCTTTTGCTGGCTCTTCAATGAGGGCCAGTGTGTAGCGGATGGCATTGGGCTGTCCTCAAGAATTTGTGGTAAAAATTTATTCGTGTAATTATTCCCATGTATAAGTGTATGTAGCTTTCGTCTGCTTGTTCGGTAGTTTTTCTTCCGTTTTCATACGAATTAAACTACCGAACCATCAGATCACCCCAGTGAGAAGTGTGTACCTAGGTAAGCTTTCACACTCTGTAACCGCAGCTTAATTGACTGTGAAATAGCTACTTTATGTGTATCTGTGTGGTCGCCATTCGGCATACGAACCGCGTGGCGGCGGCCATCTTACGCAAGAAAATCTCAGCGGTGTTTGGACGTCGAGTGTCTGGAACTCAAATCGGACACTCAAACACCCGAACACCGCTGAGACCTCCAGAGCTCCTTAACTCACGAATGGAGGGGCCAGTCAGCCCCTCGTTCGGTAAAATAAACGTACCGAACAAGGGAATACATACGAATAGGAGATTAGCTGTGGATGGCAAGTATTTATGTGTGTTTTAACTACCGAACGGAGACCGACCACAGGGCCAAAACACATGGAGCCTTTTTCGGATACTACCTCGTGTGCGGTCGGTCAAAAGTCACCTTCCATCTAACTCCCGAACCCCAGGTCCGATCTGGGTGAATTTTGAATATGTTATTCACCCAGATCTGGGCAACAGTCTATCTGCCTGTTTTGGGGTACATCCAGAAATCGGGGAAAGCTACAGGATGTTTAATGGGATTATGTGTCACACTGAGGGGTGGAGATGTGTGGGAGGTAATTGTTACACTATTGGCTACTGTAATAATTACTGTGAATCCCTCCCTTGCATGGGAGAAAGCTTTAAAAGAAGGTTGTGTGATTAAAAGTTCAGTTCTGTTCCTGATGCTGTGTGTCGTCCAGTCATTGGGATCTGTATGGGGATATTTGTGGATTACCTTGCTTGCTGTGATTATTATTCTATGGTATTTTATTACTTGTTCCTGAGCCTCACTCTGATCTTTAATGGAGTTAACCTGTGAAAGACCAGCTCTCCGCTACATTGGTTGGCAGCACCGGCATCCAGACTAACAGAGGAACAAGTACCAATGGAGTACGGATGGAGATTGACTATTCTACACTAAAACGTTCCACGCTAAAAGATCTCCTGGAAGCAATGGGTATTCCAGCCAGCAATAAAACTTAAGCTGTTCTCATTGCTGAAGTCATGGCGGAATGGAATACCGAACAGATTGCGGTTCGGTTCCCGAACGAAGTGATTTGGCAGAAGGACAAGAACAAGCAGAGTTTCAAAGGCAGCTACAATTTAGGTTGTCCTTTTATGGGAAAAATCCACCGGCAGAGATTATCTCCAGGACAATGACAGAAGTCCAGGAGTTTGTACTGAGGCAAAGGATAATGTCAACCCCAGAACGCAGCTCAGCAGTGACCATGGTACAAGAGGGTAAGCAAAAGATACCCTACCAAGCATTTAAAATGTATGTAGAGGCAGAGGAAGACATAGATGCCTTCCTCCAGGAATTTGAAAGACTGTGTGCCTTGCATAAGATCAGCTTAGAAGATTGGGTCCCCATTTTAGCTGGGCGACTAACCGGGAGAGCAGCAGAAGCTTACCGTACTGTACCCGATGAAGAAATCCGTGACTACAGTCGGGTAAAGGAAATTATACTGGCTCGGTATGCCATCACACCAGAGGCATACCGAAGGCAGTTCAGGGAACTAAAGAAAACAGAGAAAGATTCACATGCAGAAAGGGCTTGTAGACTACAGCGGGCGGCCCTTGGATGGGTACAGGTAGACAAAGCACGGTCCATGGAGGACATATTACAAATGTTGCTGTTGGAACAATTCTATGATGGGGAACCAACAGATGTCCAGGAATGGGTAAGGGACCACAACCCTGTTACGGTTGCCTCCAGGCTGGCTGGAAGTTGGACCGTAGAAAAGGATGCTCCTAGCGCTCACCAAAGGACCATCAGCACCGTAGACACCATAACTACTGCGTAGCCACCAGAAGTACTGCAGACTCCACGAACCACCGCTGCTGGGCTGGTATCTCGCCGTCTGCTCTGTGCCCTGGACCCACGACCAGGCTCCAGGTTGCAGTAGGTGAACCTCTTCCTTCTGCAGAGCGAAGCAGGATCAGGAACAAGAGCTCTTACAAGAGCTCAGTAGCTAAGGGAGTATGAAGAGCATAGCAATCCCTGTAGTGATTATAGCTGTCCCCTACAAACATGAGTCAAGGCTGCAAGTTAGAGGGTCAAGAAGATCTGAGGTGCTGGCACACCCAGCCTGGTTTTTATTACAGTCTTGCAAATACAGGACCGCCCACAGGGAGGTATAAAACAACCAATAATAAATGTACATTACAGAAACACTCCCAGCAATTACACACAAAACTCCTCCCCTCTGCCTGTGATCTAATTATGTTGCACAATGGGTTAACATAATTAAACACAGGCAGTAAAAATACAGTTTTTATCCATGTACTATAACTTCCAAACTACACATCCAATCTTCATAAAAATACATATTTAGAATCAATCCATTCAGGGGAGCAACATATTAAAAACTGGCACAAATCAGACAAGGGGTTCAAAAGTTAGCAAAAGTATCTTTTGGGGCCTGGCTGGCAGCATGGTTTTCTGGCCCAAACCGGATTTACAGAGCCCTCTATCCTGGACAATGGGGAAAGTAATCCAATTATCCAGGGATAGAGGCAGACTCCATTAACCACATGTTAGCAAAAGACACAAAAAGACACAAAAATGCATAACTCCTATCATACTGAACAGAACCCCCACATTCAACCTATCCCCAGATGGCTTGGATCTGAGCGCTCAATATATCCAAACAGCGCTCAGATCCCACAAATACAGTCAAATCGCCATACACACTAGGTCCATAGTCATGGGGCAGAAGGCTGGCAATTAGGCTTCTCCATAGCACAGGGAAGCAGGGCAATTTGTCAAATAAAATAACAGTTACAAATGGCAGTTTGTAACAAACCCTACATCCCTCACGGAGGCAGCTAGGAAAGCAGACGACTACCTGGATGCTCGCAGGCAACAAAAACCGGTAGTCATTAAGACCGCAGTAAGACCCCTAGGGGGGTCAAGCTACCCCACCAACACAACAGCACCACCCCCTAAAACTACCACCCCCATCAACCGCTGCACAAGCAAGGTTCCGCCAGCCTAGCTCTGTGCAATGTCACCACTGCCAGAGGTAGGGACACTACAAGCGAGAATGTCCCCAACTCCGAGACCGATCCACCTGGATCCGACCAGGACCACCACCACCACCGAGAGCAGCAGCCCACTATTACCAGGACGAGATCACAACACCCTATAGCTTTGTAGTTCCACTCACCACCGTGGAACAGTGGGAAGTGCTGCACGAAGCAGATCCCTTATAGGCAAATGCAGATAACTGCCAGCATCACAGACAAACCGTTTACCTGGAGGGCAAAGCTGTACAAGAACTCCGCGACTCAGAAGACACCATAACTCTGGTCAAAAGCCACCTAGTATCCGACAAAGCCAAGACCAGCAGGACTGTGGCCGTCAGGGTAGCCGGGGGAGCAGTATACCGGCTACCTACAGCAAGGGTTCATCTACATTGGGGAGCGGGATCAGGGAATGTGGAAGTGGGGTTGATGCCGCAATTGCCCGCGGAGGTTTTGCTGGGGAATGATCTGGGAAGGCTCACTTCTGCTTTTGAGCCCCAGGCCCCAACCACAGTAGAAGCTCATCCTGTATTCACCAGACAACAGGCCCGCACCCAGGACCACAGCACACAACCGGAGGTTCATGGAAGGGATCCTTCCCCTTCCTTAGACTCAGGGCCGGATTAACATAGGGGCTGATGGAGCTGCAGCTCCAGGCCCAGGCCCATGGAATAGGCCCATTTAAAAAAAAAAAAATTTTTTTTTTTTTTACACACACACTATTGTTAGGTTTGCCACCTGACTGGTGTTTTACCAACACAGCCGGTATTTGAGGCTGCCTGGCCGTGCCGGTATTGCAGTAATACCGGCAATGCAACTGCAGGTATTTTTCTCAGTATAAACAGAGATTACTCTGCAATACCAGCACTAACCAGTAGGGGTCACTGTGTGTGGAGAGAGGCAGGGATAGGAAGTTACAGCATATCACTCCCTGCCTCTCTCTACTCAATGATCCGCAGGGGAGCAGCTACAGCACAGAGAGGCAGCAGCTCCCAGCCTACAGAAACAGCCTACAGCTCAGGTAAGTGAAGGATGGGGGAAAGGCAGCAGGCAGACATGGGGACACTGAGACACTAGGGGACACTGAAAAACTAGGGGACACTGTGAGATATGGGGATGCTGAGACACATGGGGACATTGGGAGACACACAGTGACACGTGGGACACAGTGTCCCCATGCCTCCAAGCCAGTGTCCCTATTGTCTCAGTGTTCCCTATTCTCCCAGTGTCCCCTAGTCTCCCAGTGTCTATGTCCCCATGTCTCTCAGTGTCCCTAGTGTCTCAGTGTCCCCATGTCTCCCAGTGTCCCCAAATGTCTGTGTCCCCATGTCTCCCAGTGTCCACATGTCTCCCAGCCAGTCCCCTTAGTGTCTCAGTATCCCCATGTCTCCCAGTGTCCCTATGTCTCCCAGCCAGTGTCTCTAGTGCCTGTGTCCCCATGTCTCCCAGTGTCTGTGTCCCATGTCTCTCAGTGTCCCTAGTGTCCCCATGTCTCCCAGTGTCCCCAAGTGTCTCCATGCCTGTGTCTCCATGCCTCCCAGCCAGTGTCCCCAGTGTCTTGTCTTCCAGTGTCTCTGTGTCCCTAGTGTCTGTGTCCCCATTTCTCCCAGTGTCCCCATTGACTTCCTGCTTCACTGGATACTGCTGTTAGGGGGTATGGATTTACTTGAAAGATTAAAGCATAAATTAGAGAGAGATTAGCATAGAGTATATGTTTTCTTAAAGCTGCATCCTTTGAGTTTCCCTCCAACACCATCTCCATTAGATACTTGACGCTTGAGAGGTATGACTGTTTTAGTGTCTATGGTCGATAAGATTCTTGTCATGACTGCTAGTGTGGTCCAGCATGCAGAACTATGTAACATCTACATAGACCGAACAGAAAATGATAAAACGTAAACCGGTCCTTAGAATGGCCGGACTAATACGTTAAAAACAGAGAATGGTCAAGGGAGCCAGAAATATACAATACCATTTAACAAGCCAAGTCAGGGAAGCCATGAATCAGAATAGTCAGGAATAGCCAAGGTCAAAATACTGGGAATATCAAAAACAGGACAAGGAAACACACTCTCAGGATTCAGGAACCAGGAACGAAAACCACGACAGGGCAATAACCCGGCAGAGCGGCTCCTGACTCGCCGCTGAGCAGGTAAGCTCAGTTCGTTGGCGCGGTCGCACTGGTCCGGTGCGACCGCACCTCGCGGCGAGCCGGGGGCCGTGACATTTCTGTAATTAGGCCCCATCATAATTGTCACCACCAGGCCCACTGGGCTCTTAATCTGGCGCTGCTTAGACTGTGTCCCCTAGGGCCCCTCTAACGAATTTGCAGCAGAGGTGATCACTGACCCTACCTTACAAATATATAGGGACAAGGTCGCATCTGACCAACCCTGGGGGGAGGACGAGAGATTTATCTGGGATAAGCAGCTCTTATACAGGGAGTCAGACAAACAGATAGCCGGGTCAGACCCAATTGTTATGAGGCAGCTAGTGGTGCCGCAGCGGTACCGAGCGGAGTTGCTCCGGATAGCGCACGAAATTCCGCTTGCGATACGTGCCAGAGGGTAGGAAAAAAGGGGCGACCGGCGGAAGGCAAAACCGCACCCGCTACCCATAATTGAAGAACCTTTTCGTAGAATAGCAGTGGATTTAATAGGCCCACTTCGGAAACCTAGCCCGTCTGGCAAGAAATATATTTTAACACAAAGATAAATCACCGCGCTTACAGCAGCAGTAGCTTAGTATCCAACGGCTTAAAATACATAGTAAAAACAAAGAGAACGTTACCTGTGCTATGGCTTAAATCCCCATGTACATTTAAACAAAATGGAGGCTCTTTAGTTTTATTCCAATGGCCATTTGAATATATAAGCTCACCTGCCACATCAAGGCAAGCCTCAATAGGTGAGTTCCTACACTAGCCATTAGATATGCTGATATCAGCCTAGAATCTCCAGTAAGACAGGAAGGGGTATTTTATAAACGCTTTCACATTTAACCCTTTATAGGGCTTCTACACATACAGCAAAGTTTATTGTATGTGTAGAAGCCGTATAAAGTGGTTAAATGTGAAAGGGTTTATAAAATACCCCTTCCTGTCTTACTGGAGATTCTCGGCTGACATCAGCATATCTAATGGCTAGTGTAGGAACTCACCTATTGAGGCTTGCTTGACGTGGCAGGTGAGCTTATATATTCAAATGGCCATTGGAATAAAACTAAAGAACCTCCATTTTGTTTAAATGTACATGGGGATTTAGGCCAGAGCGCAGGTAACATTCTCTTTGTTTTTACTAAGAAATATATTTTAACTGTTGTAGACTATGCCACTAGATATCCAGAGGCGGTGGCTCTGACCAATATCCACGCTGAAACGGTGGCCGAGGCCCTCATGCAGATTTTCTCCCGGATGAGGTTACCCAGGGAGATCATCTTCGATCAGGGTACTCAATTTACCGCGGAGGTCACCCAGCACCTCTGGAGGTTCTGTGAAATCAGTGCCCCTTACCATCCCTAGACCAATGGGCTCTGCGAACGGTTCAATGGTACATTGAAACAAATGCTCCGAACCTTCGCCGAGACCCACAGGGACTGGGAGCGATTCCTGCCTCACTTCCTCTTCGCTTACTTGGAGGTGCCGCAGGAGTCGACCGGGTTTTCCCCATTCAAATTGTTATTTGGGAGGAGAGGGCCCTTAGACCTTGTTAGAGAACATTGGGAGGGAGACCGGAGCGCAGACGGTACCCCCATCATACCATATGTCAATGGCATTCTGAGACCGCCTCGAAGCATTGACTAGGACGGAAAAGGAAAACCTTCAGGCGGCTCAGACTCGCCAACGCACATGGTATGATCGGGGCGCCAGGGACCGTAGCTTCCAGGTTGGGCAGAAAGTTTTAATTTTAAAAACTGTCCGACATAAGTTACAGGCCGCCCGGCAGGGCCCTTATAGAGTGGTGGAACAGAGATGTGACACCACTTATATAATTGACCCCTGCGCAGGAGGGTGAGGCATGCTCCATGTGAACATGATGAAGCCCTACCAGAAACGCTCAGAGGAGGTGACCACTATCTGTGTGCCCAACTCTGAAGAGTTTAACAGCCTTCCCCTCCCAGACCTGCTGGGGGACAGTCAGTTGTCTGGGGATTTAGGAGAAGTTGTGCTGGGAGACTGGCTGAGCCCCCAGGAGCGTATCAAGGTACAGCAGCTGCTAAGAGAGAAGCACGATACCTTCTCTAACATACCTGGATACACTCCTCTGGCCACTCACCGGGTGGAAACCCCAGGGCAACTACCCATTCGCCAGACCTGCTACCGATCCTCGAAGCGGTGCGGGAGAATATGCGCAAGGAGATCGATGAGATGCTCCAACTGGGGGTGATTGAGCCATCTAACAGCCCCTGGGCTTCCCCAGTAGTCCTCGTACCTAAGCTGGATGGTACGAACCGCTTCTGCGTGGACTACCGGAGGTTGAACGAGAAGACAGTGTCTGACACCTATCCTATGCCCAGGATAGACGAACTGCTAGACCGGATGGCCCGAGGCCAATATCTCACTACTATTGATCTGTGTAAGGGGTATTGGCAGATTCCCTTGGCCCCAGACGCCATCCCTAAGTCAGCGTTTGTCACCCCATTCGGCTTGTACTAATTTAAGGTCATGCCGTTTGGGATGAAAAACGCCCCGGCTACTTTCCAGCGGATGGTGGACTGACTCCTAGATGGGTTCCAGGATTATGGTTTTAACTTGCAACATTGTACTTTTTATTTTTCCTGATCTTTCTGCTGCTGTTTGATATCCTGTACTGCTATTGGATCAGCTGCTGCTTGTGGATACCACCTAGTGTGGAGATACGCTGGTTTTAACTTGCAACATTGTAAGTGCAACTTATTTATAAATAAATTGTTACATTTTGTACCATCTACACTATCTATCTCTCTCTTTACTTTGGAGTGAATAAGAAGACCTACAATCATATCTATAAGATCACCGCTGGAGGTCCTCTATATTACTGCAGTTCCCTATTCATTGTGGAAGATACGCCTGATTTCATCTTAATTTTGTGAGTTCTCTACCATTCTGCTTCTATTTAGATGTAACAATATTACACTATATAGTTTTTATGTATTTTCAGATATATCTCTGAGACAGAATATCTCTACATACCCAGTTTGTATATATTTATTATTATTTGTCACTTTGGTTATTCACATTGTTCTGTACCTTTGGTTTTTTTCTTTTTTTCACTACTGTGTTTTAAGTGTTTGTAAGGGTACACTTTAAAACCTTGGGTACTCTTCACAGTATAGCACTTACAGTTAACTTCCTTTCTTTTTCTGGGTTCCACGATTATACCTGGGCATATCTAGATGATATTGCCATCTGATATATGAGTTTTTTTTAAAATATATTTTAGTTTCTATCTATACTAATAAAAGTTAAGTTTTATTTAACTCTTGGGATGTATTTAGCAAAAACTTAGGTCCTTAGGTCCTAGTAGTCTTTTTTTTTTTTTTTTTACTGGTTTTTATAGAGCAATACATATTGAATAAAATAGAAACTTAACAGTTATAATATGGGGTTCAAGAAGGGAAGGGAAAAAAATCAAATTAAAAGGGGGGGGGGGGAGACGTGGATTCCATCCTTATGTATCAAAATTGGAAATGACAGGTGTTTAAAGTCATGATGTAGGGTAATAACTGCTTGATCAAAGGATAAATCTGACTGCCATTCTGGGGTCAATAAGGAATGTTTTTCCTTTTTGCAATACCTGGCAGGAGCACTTGGCCCCTGTAGCAGCAGTTCTAGACAGGATTAGGGAGGCCGGTTTGACATTGAAACCGGCCAAATGTAGTATAGGGATGGCCGAGGTACAATACCTGGGACATCGAGTGGGCTGTGGGAAACAGAAACCAGAACCAGCCAAAGTAGAGGCCGTAGCCCAATGGCCCACCCCTAGGACTAAGACTCAGGTGTTAGCTTTTCTCGGGACGGCAGGGTATTATAGGAAGTTTGTCCCCAATTATAGCGCCCTGGCCAAACCCCTTAACGACCTTACCCGTAAGAACCTTCCCCACCAAGTAACCTGGACCCCAGAGTGTGAGCAGGCATTCCAACATCTGAAAAATGCACTTATCAATGCCCCTGTGTAACGGCTATCCAGGTTGTAAGGGGGTATCAGCCGTTGGAGACGTCCTTTTCCTGGCAAGCTGCTGTGGAGTTTCTTATTCCCATCCACGAGATCCAAGAGTAGAGTCAGGTATAGCTGTAAAATGGAGCAAGGTAATTGTGCAGTAAATACCCTTCCAAGAACGAGACAAGGCTACCTTTTTAAGGGTCAAGTAGAACTGGCTTTTATTGACAGGGATTCTCCTTTTATGCAATTCTGCCCTTGGGAGGGCGACACCTACATAATTAGTACATTACCCAATCACCAACATGGTACATCCCACATGTCTCCTCCCCTCAGATAAACAGTTAACATAATTAACACACACACATTTTTACCCAAGTTTTGGATGTACCCCAAATACTTGGAGTACACCCTTAAATTCAGTATCCCCAGATAGCCCTCATCTAGGGGAACAACATATTAAAAAATCATCCCATTCGGTAAAAGCGTTCGGGAGTTATGGGACTTTAAAGTTTTGACCGACCGCATAGGCATACTAGCCGAAAATAGTTCCATAAGTTTTGGCCTTGCGGTCGGTCCTCGTTCGTGCGATGAAAAAGGCACGAAAATCCTGCCATCCGTGTATGTCTTGCTGGTCGCTGGAATCCCCGCACGTAATATATCCTATCTACCGAACAGCAGGGCGTTCGGTAGTTTCAGCACGAATTTACGGTGTTATGGAGGTTTCAGCGGTGTTCACCTACTCGAGTGTCCGATTTTAGTTCCAGACACTCGATGGCAAATCACCGCTGTTCGTGCGTTAAGATGGCTGCGAACGCGTGCAAAGTCCCGAAATGGCGGCCACCTAGGAT